CGAGATGAGGCAGGATAAAGAGGGATAATCCCCCTCGATCCCAAATCATTGAGGCCAATTTCTAGCCATGGAATAATGGCGCGCGTGGCGCTAGCCATAGAACTACTGGACTCGCCCAACTGTCATTTTGCCTATACAAACGGCAATCGCTCAGACGTATGCGAGAGAGATGGAGCTAGTAAGGGCTTAAGCTTCGTTCACAGAATTTCGACTGCAGCTCGCTACATTTAATTTCAACTAATCAGCTAGCTATACTCGATTCCTTACCCCTTTTTTTTTCCGTTGGGCCGTATTCAGACTATAAAAATAATATAGAGACTAAAGGACAAAAAATTTTCATTTTTCCCAGTAGTGTAGGTATGTAAAAGGGTTTATTATATTACTGTCCTAATTACAGTACAATATTTGAATTGTTTTAGCTATATTTCAAATAGTTTTTATAATGCCTCATTTATGTATTACTCCATTTATTTTCCTCATATCATAAACTCGATCGGTTAAAATTACTGCAAGCTCTTCTGAAGTAGTTGTTTCAAATATTTCATATTTTTTACTTTGCAGAACTGTATAAATTGAAACTATGGCGAAGTTTTCTTCGTTCAACATATTATTTATTTTTGCTGGAGCACATTATAAGCACATTTCAGTTAAAACTTTTTCTTTATATTCGGTTTGATGTTAAAAAATAATTTGAAGACACATTTAAACCGGCAAAATTTTGACATTAAAATGACATTTTATTTTGAGGATAGGGGAAATAATATAATCTAATAAGTTATCATCAGAGACAACTCTACTTGGTCATTATTTTCAGAAAGATGCAAAAAGTATAAACATGTTGGTACCATCATAACTTCTTTCCTACCTATAAAATTTAATTTTTTCTCCACTTAAACGTCTCTTTACGCAATTTATCGCAGAACACGATTGCACCATATTTAGTTTTTACGAATCTTTCACACAAAAATTCAAGAAATCAATCAATAATGTCAATACATAATATTTACTTCAAAGTTTGTTTACGGCATTTTGTACCGGTATACCCATGTACCATCATTTGTTTTACCGGTATTTGCCTCAACTAGCTTCATTTGCCTTGCACACATCAGCGCGATTGACCTCTCTTTCTAGGGCCAGTCCATAGTTTACTAGGTCAATGCTGCTAGCATATTTCATTGACAAGTCAAGAACTTTAAAGTCACCGGCGAGTTTGTGGAGTGAATACTCAATGATTAAGTCAATTATATTCATAGGAGAGAACGTGGATATATCAAAATACTCCAAGCTGAGAGCATTTTTGAAACGTAAGAATGACGGCTATACACCTAAAAAGTCAAACGTTTTTACAAGAGAACAAGTCAACGATTTTCTCGTTCAGACACCCGCTAACACATATTTGCTAACGAAGGTAGTGACGGTCTTAGGCATTGCAGGAGCATGCCGTTCTGATGAGTTATGCAAACTTACTTTGGACAACGTCAATTTCAAAAATTTCGATGACATTATTGTAGTTACAATTATTCCAGATTCTAAAAATGCTATGTCACGTACGTTTACAATTACTTTTCGTCTAGGTTCTGTATCTCATCTAGAAATTCTCAAGAAATATATTAAGATTAGATTGGAAATTAAAACTGAAATTTCACGCTATTTTATGCGCTATCAAGCAAGGTAGATGTTACAACCAGCCAGTCGGCAAGAATACCCTTTCTATTATGCCTAATAATATTGCACAGTTTTTGAAACTAGAACATCCTGAAACATATACAGGCCATTCATTCCGAAGAACATCGGCAACGTTACTACATCAAATATTTATATTTATTTGTTCATAAAATATGCATTTATAACTCGAAATCGCTTTTTTCCCTAGGGAGGTAAGTTACCTCACTTACCTCCCGTTGTCCATAGTAGCTTCCACTTCTATGGTAAAATCCACTTACATCCTTTAAAAAAAATGTATTAATAGTCTATTTACTATAGTGGGAGCAGATAAACAAAATTACCGGTCACGCGACTTGTAATCATTTATGAAAGCTCTGTATTTGCAAAAAGAATTGAATTATTGAATCCATTCAACTATTTTATTATTTTTTTAAGGGCCAAAAGGACGCTCAGCTCCAGCACGGAGGCCTCCCTAGAAATCGACGCCCTCTTCGACGGCCTCGACTTCTACACCAAGATATCCAGAGCACGATTCGAGGAGCTTAACGCCGACCTGTTCAAGGGCACGCTCCAGCCCGTGGAGAAGGCCCTCAACGACGCCGGCATGAGCAAATCCGACGTCCACGACGTCGTGCTGGTCGGGGGTTCCACCAGGATCCCCAAGATCCAGTCGCTCCTACAAAACTACTTCAACGGCAAGAGCCTGAACCTGAGTATCAACCCGGACGAGGCGGTGGCCTACGGCGCCGCCGTCCAAGCGGCCATCCTGAGCGGGGACACCAGTTCCAAGATACAGGATGTGCTCTTGGTCGATGTGACGCCGCTGTCTTTGGGTATCGAGACTGCCGGTGGGGTTATGTCGAAGATAATCGACAGGAACTCCAGGATACCCTGCAAGCAGACGCAGACGTTCACCACGTACTCGGACAACCAGCCGGCGGTCACTATCCAGGTTTTTGAAGGGGAGAGGGCGATGACGAGGGATAATAACTTGTTGGGTAATACATTTTTATGCCTAGAGTGGGTGGAAGCTATGAGCGAACTATTTAGCAGGTGATCTTCATAAAAGTAATGGTACAAGTTTCTAGTCGGATGCTTTTTCGGATATTCACTGTTTTTTAAATTTTGTACAATTATGCTCTTTATTTTGCGGGAAACAGCTACTCCGCGGACTAATGACACGATCAGCATTGATCGGCAATATCTAGTAAACAGCTAGGATCATTCGTCAGTCGTATCCACCAGACATATACCGGTTTCGAACTTATTCTCATCAGTATGCCATAAGTGGGAGAACCAACGAACGATCCTGCTATTTTTGGTGTTTTAACTAAAAACATGGAGTGAGTGTAGGTGAGATGATGTTATATCGATATATCGATTTTCAAACGGCCAAACTAGCAGAGAGCGACCTGCTATTTCGCAAGAGCTGACGCGATTAAGCGAAATAATTATTTTTAAACTGATGGTTTTGCGGGAGACAACTGCTCTGCGGGCTAATGCCANAATAAATAGTTTATGAGAATAAAGGAATTTTTGTAGGAACAAGGGTGCCAGACCTGAACTGATCCCCTCGTCCCTTCATAATGTATAAAGAAATTATTCAATTTGTAAAACCCTTAAAAGCGTACTTCATTGGTTCCCTTGACAGGCAATGATTTATTACTTTGCATCGAATATGATCCTACTATAAAGACATGGAGTGAGTGTAGCTGAGATGATGTAATATCGATGTATCGATCTTTAAACGGTCAAACTAGCAGAGAGCTGCTATTTTGCAGCAAGAGCTGTGATGCGATTAAGCGAAATAATTATTTTTAAACTGATGGTATTGCAGGAAACAACTGTTCTGCGGACTAATGCCCC